GTGAAACTTTACTACCGGTCACCTCCCACCCCAAAACCCCCCCACCCCGCCTTGGTTGGTGGGGGAATTCTGGGAGTTGAAGTCCACAGGTCTTAAAGTTGCCAAGGTTGAGAAACACTGATCTAGATGATCCTGGTGGGTATCAGAGCTTTTTCACACCAAAGTATTTCCTCTCCCCTATCCTTCACAAACCAGGTTGAAGATAGCTTATGGTCACCTTCTCACCTGCCATGCTGGCTAGGGAATTCTGGGAATTGAAGTCCACACATCTTAAAGTTGCTAAGGTTGAGAAACTCTGCACTAAACCCATCTGTATTCTTCCTCCCACCGACCAAGAGAGTTTATACAAGTAGTCATTCCAGCACATCCTGAAAGCTACTACTATTCCTGCGTACATCGTCCTACTCCACACCAGAGCCCCCAGATCTAGGCTGCAAGAATCTGTACAGCCACCAGATGGCAGCAGAGCATCCGAGTTCCCAGTTTTTGCTGTTTGGATTTTGGCAGCCCAGTTCTGATAGCCTTATCCCCCACTAGTTCCGAGAGGAAATAAAACAAATTGCAATCTCTCTTCCTCATTTCTACGACCGATGAACTCTGTTCCCACAATCTGTTCAACTGGCTTCGCAAGGGGGTGAATGTGCCAGGAGAACGCCAAAAAGGATCAGCTGGCCCAGTCAATTAATTCACAGGCTGTTGCACTTAACCCCAAACAGGCCTTGTCATGCACAGGGTTAGGCTAACTTAACTGGTGGGAATGTCACAGAGATGCCCACATTCTGTGCCTACGTCTCTTCACTGAAAAAGCAAATCTATGAGCAATCGCTATAAAGGGTCACTGCACAAAGCACCATTTCAACATCGCAACCTTTTGTCATGAGGATAAAAACATGGAAAGCCCCATATGTGCTACCTTGAACTCCCACGTATAAAGCAAGCTACACAGGCAATAATAAAACACAATACTCTTCTCAGTGGTGATGGTGAAAGGCTAATTCCCAGCAGGAAAAAACCAAGTGAGCAAGAGGATGTTCTGTTGATGTCTTTTCTCACAACCTACTCTTCCATCTGCCCTTGGCAGCCCCAGCTCACGTGTGCCGGCTTTCTGCTGGCAAGAGTGGAACAGTCAAAGAGAAAGGCCACCTTGCATTTCCCATTGACCTGGAACAGCCGAGGAAGTCAATCCATCAGGAAACCATAACAAGAGTCTTTACAAACCCACTGATGGAGAAAAGCTGAAAAAGACACCTCCTGATTGAGCTTTATTGTAATTGCAAACACTAAACTGCTTTCCCTGCTAAGTTGCTAGAAGGTGCAGTAATAATTGAGAAGCAGGAGAGGGCACTGGGAGACTGAGTTGCCACACAAAGCCTATTCTAGCTTGAAACCCTTCCATCACATTGGCAGGAAAACAATGTGGATGTTGTGTGTGAAGTCAGGCTCTTAAAGGCAATTTTGTCTTGTTAGGTGTCTTGTCATTACTCCCAGAACTCCTCAAAAACTCGAGGAGGTTGGTGTGGCAGGAGGCATCTCCCATAGTTGGCCAAATAGTTCTACAGCTTACATGTATGGTTGCCAACTGACTAGGAGAAAGAAAGGCCAGTTGGTTTCTGGACCTTTAACAGTAAGCTGGCCAAACTGTCAGGTGAAACTCTTCTTGGCACTCAAACAAACCTGATCATCTGCTAAAATTTGCCTTGATTCATGAAAGAAGGAATGATGGAAAGCAGATCTGTCTTATAGCTGCAATGCTTTGATTTCAGACCCTACCTTTTAGTGCCAAGTTCCATGGCCTCCAAAGAAATCAGGGATAGAAAAGAATGAAATTATGAATCACTTTCCATAGCTCAATAGCAAAGTAAACAAGTGCAAAAAGACTATCATGTTGAATAATCTCCTTCAAGGTTCCAGCCCATTGTGGCCATCCAGGAGACTTCCTTCCATTTCCCTTCCCTTCCCGTAGTCAACCAGCATCACCACTCTTCACTATGTCTTTTGGATCCCCCATTCCCCAAGTTTTATTTTGGGATGTCTAAAACGCTTTCATCTCTGCTGATATTTTCTCCCTTGAGGATGGTCAATGCCATTTTGCCTACCTGAAGATTTATGTTTGGGAAATTGAGGTGGATTATAGTACTAAGACCACCATATTTGGGCTGCAAGCCTCCGAGGAGCAACTAGATGGCAACTAAATGATACCAGAAACTTCTAACATTGGGGCCACTGCAAATGAATCCCTATCTCCTGTCCATACCAACCTGTGACAGATTGTAACATGTAAACAGGATTACAGGGGCAAATATGGTCTTTGAAGAACCAGATCAAAACCTTTTCATGCTTTAAAGATTAGGAGTGGAGGGTACATACTCAGAATTACTTTTTCAGATTTCCTGGTTCCCACTAGCATCTGGGTGTCCTTGTTATTTTTTTTAACTAAAGCTACCCTGTCAGCCTCATGGGGTGAACCAGACAGGAATCACAACCAGATGAGCTAATTCTACTTTATTGTAAAGCTACCTTGACAGACTCTTGCAAGTCTGTGAAAGTACATCTCTCCCCACATCTCTTTTACAGCTCGAGAAACTAGGGAGGTTCCCTTCTGAGCCTCTTGCCCCACCCACTATCCAGTTGTGGGCTATGCTGTCTCTTATCTGACCGTTCCCTTGGCAGTGTCTCTTGGCCCAGTCTCCCAAGGTCTTTCCCACACACTGCCACATCATCAAGTTTGGTATAGTGGTTAAGGCACCCGGCTAGAAACTGGGAGATTGTGAGTTCTAGTCCTACTTTAGGCACAAAGCCAGCTGAGTGACCTTGAGCCTGTCCCCCTCTCTCAGCCCTAGGAAGCAGGGAAGGGCAAATGATTTCTGAAAAGGTGGCCAAGAAAATTGCAGGCAGTCGCCAAGAGTCAAGACTGACTCAAAAGCACAAAATAATTTAAATAGTACTAATGCTCTGCATGCAGGAAATCCCAAATTCCTTTGTTCAGATCAGTGCAAATATTCATAGACGTTTGTGCTAAGCTATCAGATGAGTGCATTTTTAATCCAAAGACATGGAGCAGAGGAGAGTATCTTACAATTTGTAATTGTTGAACCATTTCTTCTCTGTAGGCCAACTCCCGCTTCATCTGATCTTGAAAATTATCTGTGCAGAAAAGAGGGCAAAGAAAGGAAAAGCACATGAATTTTCCTGTTAGACGCTTCCAATTCTGGTTTTTATTTTATTTTTTTTAAAGGCTACAGTTTGTTACTTTGTGTGAATTTTGCACTGAAGGAATATTGGTTACTGAAAAACGCAGTCCTAGATGTGCAGAGGTGTTAGATTGTATGTTATGTTACATGAAACAAAGTATTTAAGCAATTATCCTTAGTCTGTATACAGGTAGTCCTCTGTTAATGATGGTGATTGGGACTGAAATTTCCATCGCTAAGTGATGCGGTCAGTGGCTAGCCCCACAGAGGCCTGCTGTCTTCAGCCCCAGATTCTTGGACTCTCCTTTTCCTCTTTTTTAGTAATGTTTTTAAAATTTTGATGTTTTATGTATTTATATGTATTT